CTTTACAAACAAGAAAAATTCAAGCTAAATAAGAGTGTGTAAAAATCAATATGAGATTTGTGAAATGCCCGAAACAAGAAGGTTAGTGTACTAGTTTTCTTCTTATTTTATTTTCATCGTAGTGATGCTGGACAAATACAGTGCGGTTCAAAGTTATTAGAAAGGACTATTAAAATTTCATCTTTTGTTCATAAAATTTTAAAAACTTGATGATTTGATGTTTTTTTGATTTTCTAGTACCTTATTTCATCCTCCATAAATGCATATAAGTTTTAGTCATTTCATGAAATATTACTATTTCTTAAAAAGAATTATCGTTTTAAACAGTTTATTTTAGCTGCTCAAAATTATTCGAAGTACTAATGACGAAAGCTACATTCCAAGGAGTACGAATTGAATTTCGTTTTATTTTGGTAAAATTTTACTAATTTTAACGGATTAATTTATTTGGTAATTTATTTTTTTACTCTACGAAGCAGTCAAGCCAACAGTGAAGCACAAGAACTAAAATATTTCTTTTGATCTTCGCCTCCGCAGCAATGAAGATCGAAAAGATGGGGTATAATATGAAAACCTAGCAAAGAAGTATAAATTGTCGATGTTGGATATTTACTATTTGTGCAAGAAGTATGAGACGACATGATCCATCGTATACAAGAGTGGTCGAAACCGAAAACAAGTACAAGAGAAAACTCTATGAATGTAAGATTTGCTTAGAAAAAGAACGATATATCGCGAACAGAGAATGTGAAAGATTTGAAATTGAATGTGTCAGCTCTAACAGTTTGACTTTATAATCAAAAACTCAGCGTTGATAAGTTATATCCAAAGAAAAAGACCATACATCTTAATACATTTCAAAACAGAACATGGCAATGAGTTTGGTCTTTGCAAAAGAGCATATTTCGAAGATTTACAATTCTGAGCAGTGTTTTATGGTCATACAAAAGCGAATATGATCTTTTTAGATAAAAAAAAAGAGTGGAGGGACGATCAGACCAGGCTCTAAAAATGATGAATATCCTACAGAGAGTAAAACAGTGAAGCGGAAATTGTGATGGTATGGGGTTGTTTCACCCTAAAGGTATTGCTGGAATTGAGAGGGTCAATGGTAAAAATGATTGTAACTATGTATGCCGATACCTGTCCGAAAATCTGAAATCAGAAATTTGAGAGTGGCTCGACTGTATATCTTTCAACGAGATAATTACTTAAAATACACGTCAAAGATTTCCAAAGATTATTTCTCAAAAAACAAGATTAAGATACTAGAGTGACCCTTTCAAAGCCCAGACCTTCATACCATCTAAAATTTACGGTCAGTTTTTAATCAGAAATTCCCTTTTAAAGAGAGAAGAAATAAAAATCATTTTTTTGAGACGATCAAAGATAAACGGTGCAGTATCAACCAGGAGACAACGCAGAAACTCGTTGATAGCCTGAACCAAAGACTGAAAGCAGTTATTGAGGTCAAAGAAGGCCCATATAAACATTAAACACTGATATTTTATTTTTAGAAACTGTTATGTTAATTTTTCGATGTAAGTTTTTGACCGGTCGAATAATTTTGTACAACACATAATTTAGAGTTACATAAAAATGTTCCAATTCTGACTCATTTTGCGATAAAGTTTTAGTTATTTGAATTTTTTTCTAATGAATCTGATTGAATTATTGATAAAATTAATATATTTGAGATATAAATAAATAAATTTATTTTCTATAATAAAAAGTGTAAAATTCTCTTTAGCATTATAATAATTCTGAATAGCACTGTAGATTCTATAGAAGTGTCCCTATTTTTTATTATCGAAATAATTCAGAAGTTTTAAGAACTGACAGAATTTCATTTCATTTGAATATTATCAAAATGATACTTTAATTTTAATGTATTTTGTGGTCAGTTACGCCTGTAGCTTTTCCTTCGATTTTATCTATAAATAAAACAGTTCAATGCTGTCTTTACCGAGAATTTCACATAGAATTCATAGAACTGTAGATCTCAGGCTCATTACGGAATACGAAAATCCGGATAAGTAGATAATCCGGTTAGGCTCAAACTCCAATTAGTCTGGATTATCCATTCAATATATTATTAATCTGGCTTGTGCCAGATACTTATTCTGATCCTGCATTTAACTACTCATCGTTTTAACACTATTTAATTATGTTATCTATTATTAAATGTCATGACATAATGTATTAATATGATCTTCAACATTATAATGATTTTTATACCTCTTCGTGTTAAGAGATGTAATTTTGTTGTAAAGATCGAATTTTGTAATCAATTTTCGCTCACTACCTAATGTATCAGAGTTTCGAAATTTCGTAAATTTGTGCGTACTTAATGCTAAGACTCTATTTTAATATTTTTTTAAATTTAATTATCATTTAATTGATTAATTTAACTTAATTTTGATTCATCATCAACGACCGGTGCCACCTGGTAGTGAATTTGAGAAGAAATTGTTTCACGATTCTATAATATTTATAACAGTAAGTTAAAAAATAAAAAAGGGGAAATAATTAAAATTTCTTCTTTTTAGTACACTAATAAAATGTGTTTTAAAAAGTGCTTTTATTAAATTTATTTCCGCTTGATGTGCTTCGAACTTATTGCACAGAAATACTTGTTGGTGTTTTTTGTTTGATACATGAAGAGAATTCTGTAATATTTTCTTATTGTGGAGGTAGCAAAAATGATAATGAGTTTTGAAATGGCGGCAAAGATTTTTGATTTTTTAAAAGCGAATTTATAAATTCACTTTTCATTTTGTAAATGTGTTATGTAAGTTATAAAACAAATGTCGAGAATAAAACATGTCGTAACACAATAGATGTCGAGAATAGTATAACAAATATCGAGTATTCATATTTTGATTTCAACTTATTTTAAAATTACAAGTTTCTTCGATTTCTTTCAATGATAATCAATTCGTGCTAACAGATGTTTTCCGATTATCTGTTGCACGAACTGTAAAACTTACATAAGAAACAATTATTTATTTTGAAAGTTTCTAAACGATATATATTTATAGGTTCTGTTCTGTATCCACCCAATTGTTAGATAACTGTAATTGTTATATGCACAGGGCCAAGTATGGAGTTGCATAACATAGTCATTCTAAAATTTGTTAAGTCTAAAATGTCCATTCAAAAAAGCAATTCCTATTTTTCTTTATTTGAGTTTAATTTGTTTCATTTGAGAATACAGTCTCGAAGCTTCCAAAATTTTTTATTCCGGCCGCTGGGGTTTTTCCCACCATGGAAAACACAAATGTGGGCCAGTTTCTTTTAAACGATCTTTCAGGAACGCAACCTAGCCCGAAGCCTCTTTAACTAACTGAAGACACCGTATTTTCAATTTATCATGAGTCGATAACTCATGGATACGGCTAGGTATGCTAAACAAAGTGGGATTAGAAGTACTGCAATAAAATAATTTCTGAATTTATTGCAGATATTTCTTTTAATATAATATGAAATAATATTTATCATATGAAGGCATACAAGTAACTTTGCTAGCAGAAGATCTTTTCTCCCCCTATAAGACATTTATATTTAGCGAAAATATTACATCAATAGACATCTGTACTACAGGCGGGTTTCTGAGCAAGTGTTCGCTATTTACACTTCATTTCCGTGCAATTTAGCTCTATTCATATAAGACACTCTAAAGGATTCAGAAAATGCAGACATGCGTCGGCTTTATTCAATAAGATGCTTCCAAGATCCATTCATAAGCAAATTTCGTAAACCACCAAACAGTTGTATACGCAGGACGGTTGTCTCTTAGACGCTGAGCAAATTTTGTAGCGTCAACAAAAAGCTGCCTGCAAGATAATAAGTCGAGTGCATTTGATTACGGTCTTGAAAGGGAAGTTCATTTTCTGCGAAGAATGAACTTTTGTGCAAATATGCTTCTATTGAACAAATTAACATGCCTCATATTCCACGCTTTCAGGACACGCTTAATAGCATAGTTGTTTAACATATAATTTTATGTCGCATAAGCTTAAGCTGAATTTACGCATTTCACAGTTAACTTTCGCACAAAGTTCTGATCTGTTTACTTTGTCGTATACGAAATATAGCAAAATGAAGCATTGTAATTCCCGAAAAGTCCGAGAATTTGATCAATCTCCACGTTTTAGATTTTCACGAATCCGAAAGTACTATATTTGGAATTATCTCCTATTGTCTGTGAATATGATAACTGAACGAGCGGAAGTGGTCTTCCCTAGATTTTCTCATATACTCCCTAACAAAGGTGTCGTACCACACCTGTGCAGAAAAATTGAGAATATTCAGCAGCGTTCAGAAAACGAAGAGTACTTAGAATTATATTACCTTTTTAGACCGCGGCGAAGGGCAATAATATATGATAAAATAACAGTAAGACGAAAGGGCATCAATATGTGGCGCACCGTGCTACGCCATCTTACTCTGATTTATATTAGCCGATATCCACCTCCGAACATTAGAAATTCCTTTTGTCTAGTGGTTAAGATGTTCGGCTCGGGACCCAAAGGTCTCTGGCTCTATTCCGCCTCCATAGTGGTGACTCGAGGACAAAGAACACGCAACAACAACTTTCAGTCCCTCTAATGGCAGCACCAAAAATCAGATCAATTCCATCTTCTGCTATATCCACCAGATGGCAGGACTCTACAGCATTGCAGCTCTCCCAATTCAAAAGTCTATGACAAATTTCATAGCACAAAGTTTGTGACGCATTTCACAACACACAAAGCCTATGACCATTTCATAGCACAAAGTCTGTGACGCATTTCACAGCACGCAAAGCCTATGACCATTTCATAGTACAAAGCACGCACGTGCCTGCTAACCAACAATCTGGCATATACACGCAGCACATCGCTTCCTTGATATTCAGATAATATCAAACAAGCTGGGGGTTGCTCCTGTGGCGCACCATGCTACGCCATCTTACTCTGATTTATATTAGCCAATATCCACCTCCGGACATTGGGGATTCCTTTTGTCTAGTGGTTAAGATGTTCGGCTCGGGACCCAAAGGTCTCCGGTTCAATACAAGATAAGGAGTAAAATACGCCAAGCGGCCGCCAATACACAATATGGCCGTTTTATGCGTCATTGTATGATGATGGTTGTGTTGAATTTTTTGGCGCAAGAGCCATGAACTTGAGCAAACGGGGCGCTAAAAAAATGTAAAATCATGCCAAGATAAAAGTATGAGATTGCATATGTATAAAAAAACCGATGTGTAAAAAATTTTCAGTTAAAACTGAACTGTGTGTAAATAAGAGAGCAAAAATTGATTGCTTTAAAAAATGGGAAAAAATGAATATGTGGGGTTTCTCCAAGTAACGTAGGTAATGAAACTGTCGTAGTATGAAAAAAATATAAACATTGTGAGTTAAAATTTGAGCATTCTGCTAAGATGTGATGAACATACATAATACAGTTGCATTTTGAGCACATTGGCGCTTGTTCCCCGAGCAATAAGTGACGGTGAGTAAATTTTGTATGACCTACACGTAGCTAAGACAAAATAGCATCAGCTTTTATGTTCTTTAAAGAAGGCCAGTTGGTTTGACAGCATGAAGCTTGCTTCTAGTCTCTATGTTCCACTGCTCCTGCCATTTGGAGTGAAGCAGCAATTTGATGTGTTTTTTTAAACCGCCAACAGGAACAGTATCATTTATAGAAATCGTAGCCGATTGTATGATGAAGAAAACCGAATATGCAATTTGAACGCTTTTTTTCGACAGATTGAAATTAAAATTTGATACGGATCTACAATTTTGATGATAAAACTATGTACTAAATTTTTATCCAGCTAGATATTTAAGTTTTTGATTTATCTTATTCACATGAGCGCGGGCAGCCAGACTAACAGCTATCGTCCAAAATTTGATAGAAATCTACAAACTTAGTGTAAAGATCACATGCTGAATTTCATCGGTCTAGCTCACACACTTTTGAGTTATCATGTTCACAGACACAGAGACAGACAGAAATAATTTCGGACTCAAGGAAGGTTTAAAAAGAGGTTTTTATCAAAATCTCGAGGTTGTATTTTTCGACGATTACAATACTTTCTCGTTGTATACTTCGCATACAAGTAAGTTAAAACGAAACAAACTAGATGAATGAAATTTAAAATATATAGTCTCTCTTTTTACTAAAATTGTAGATATCTATCAAAAGTTGGGTATGATCAGATAATGAGCTTTCCTATAATATTAAATATTTATATAAATATTTAATATTATTTTAACATAAGGTTACAATTTTTGGGAGACAAAATATTAATTAAAAAAACTCTTAATTCATTATTTCTGGCACAGTACAGTTTGAGACTTATTTAAATAGCAAAGTAATGCATTTTAAACCTTTTAATTTTTTATTGAAAAAGGATGCAATTTGTGTTTGCTTGGCTCTTTCAGTTTTTTGGGGGGTAGCCTTTTTCAATTTGATTTTTTAATTGAAAAAGTAAATATCAGATGATTAACTAAAATTAATGAAAAAGTAAATATCTAATTAATTGAATATTAAATAAGGCAAGCACAAGACTACTGCTTTCACAAAATTTGTGATAAAATAAATTTTTTTACCTCAAATTGCATTTTGCATTGAAATGAACTGAAATAACGTGTCAAGTTCAGAAAATTTTGTATGGCAATTCCCCCATTTCAGGACGTTTAGTCTGTCTATAAGGTAGATATATAAATTTGAGAGTGATTGCTCCGAACACTTCTTCGAACAAGAATTAGCAATAGAAAGCAAGATTTTTAGATGTACTTTTGCCATATAAAATGAAAACTTCCTGTTACTGAATAGTTCACAGCTCAAAAATTCTAGGGAATTGATTGCTTTTAGTTTGATCACTTATTGTACGGGATTCATCTCTGAAATTTAAGAAGAAGTAATTTTTTATCAGGAAATCCGAAAAAATAATCGAATTAAAATATTCATTTACATTGAGATTTAACCAGCGGAAACCAGTCAACGGCTAATTTTAATATTCAACTTAAGGGGACGGTGGACATTGAAATTGGCAAAAATTGACCAAAATATAGAAAACTTTTTGTTACATTAAGATGTTGTTTACTTTACTGAACCGTATGCACAAAACCACGTGTTTCTAAATAAATTTATTAAAAAATTATAGGCATTTAAAAAATTTAAAGGGACAAAAAATTTAAATATGTAAATAACAACGTCAATAAAGAGGAACCACGATTTTTTTTACATTTTATTTTAGAATTAATATTTTTACGTTTTAGCTTTCGTGGATTTTAACTGTAACTGTTAACTGCTGTTTGCCGTGTTTTGTTTACATTTCTCCCTCGTGTTTAACGGGTTGACGTGTTGTTATTTGTTATCATCATTTGTGTTTTCTGCCTGCTTCCTGGTATCCTCTGAAGTGACTTTTTTTGCTTCAAAACCCTGGTAAGTAATAATACTTTATACTTTGTGTATATTTTGCATAATGGATACCGTTAGTCGACGATATCGTAAATTGAAAGGTAGGCCATTAAAACTAAAGCGTTTGTGTGCTTCGAGCATAGGCAAGAGATGGGAAAAAGATAAAGTAGAGAATTCCGATATTTCAGTGTGTGTTGTAAACTGTGTAAGCAATGAAAGTAGGGAAAAGAAAAACTCTTTAAACGTAAGTGCCACAAAATTGGAAATGTTGTCTTCTACTTCTGCTTCAACAAGCAATGCCATTGAAAAAATTCTTATGTCATCATAAATAACAGTATGGATAAAATAGAACTAAAATTCAAAAACTGTGAGAAAATATTTAAATGCATATTTTCCAGCCATCGTGGAATGATGATAAATGTTTTGAAGCAAATAAAATGCTTGTTGAAGCTTTTTTGAAAATTGGGAAAGGCCACGTAGCATTGGAAGTTTTTCAATGGCTATTGGCATTCGTGCAATGGATAAAAAACATTTTCAAATTGTTTAGATAAATTGTATGAGGAGAAGCAGAGCTATAAAGATGTCATTCTTCAAGTGCCTCACAAAATTATTATCCAAAAGCATAATGAGTTAGCATCACCATCTGACGAAAATATTGATATCACAGTCCCGTATGATGGCACATGGCAGAAACGTGGACATACATCGCTTTATGGTATTAGTATAGTTGTTGATATTTTGACTGGTCTCGTCTTTGATTACGAGATACTTTCGAAATATTGTTCTGAATGCACTACTGCAAAAAGGGATCTTGGGGAACACAGTGCTGATTTCTCCATATGGTACAAAGCCCACAAGCCAGAATGCAGCGAAAACTGTGTGAGATCATCAAATGCGATGAAAGTTAAAGCTGCAGAAATTTTATAGATGAGATCAGTTGAAAACTGAGGTATGCGATACATGAGTATTCTGTCAGATAGTGATTCTAAGACATACCAACATTTATTAGAATTAGATCTACATGGTGACAGTATGAAAATTTCTAAAGAAGAATGTCTAAATCATATGGTAAAGTGACTTGGGACAGGACTTCGCAATAAAATCAAAGAGCGGTGATTTGAAGGTGTCACAATTGGTGGTCGCAAAGAGAGAAGCTTGAAAGAAAGCACTATATTAAAGCTTACAAATTTTTACAGGAAAGCTATAAAAGACAACGTCTCTGATGTACAGAAAATGAAAACTGCAATTTTGCTTCATTATGCCACAGTTCATCGACAGACAAAGCACCTAAGCATAATAAATGCCCAACAGGCTTGACATCATGGTGCTTTTATCAGAGGGCATTGGCTAACAATGAAAAGCCAAAGTCTCATTCGTCAATGAAGATTTCTGGAAAAATACTGCCTGTGCATCAAAGGCTTGCAAACAACGATCTGTTGGCAAGATGCGTCTCGGGAAAAACCCAGAATGTAAATGAGAGCATTCATAGTGTTATTTGGAACAATTACCCAAAAGAAACTTTCGTTTCTAAAAAGCGGCTCGAATTGGCAGCAATTTCTGCCATAGGTGAGTTCAATTTTGGCTGCTTGAATAACCTTAGCGCATAACAGAATGAATTGAACTCAGAATCTGTTCACATTGCTCAAAGATGTGATAAACGCCGCATAGCCCAACGTGAAAGTAGGGGTACTGAGAAGTGGAAAAGAAAAAGAATTTCGAAGAAACTATCTAAATCTAATAATAATACAAAAATCGTTGAAAAAGAAGGTGAAACATATGATCCTGGCAAATTTTAATTTACTTTTGTTTTGAATAAGTAGTTATTTATATTAATTTAGAAATACATATTCCTGAAAATTATAACGCGTCAAATTCTCTGTTTGTCGATGAACTGTGGAAAAATGAATCCATAGAAATCATTAAATATTTTTTCCCCTTCAAATGCATCTTCTTATTAGTATGGTATAAAGAGAGCAAGTATCAAAGGCAAGTGTGTATAGATATTTAAAATGTCTTTTTCTCAAAACTATATTTTTTCAGATTTACGTGTCTTCATGAGTCTTAATTATGAAATTTCTATTACGGTATCCTGATAGATACTAAAATTAATATTTGTATCCATTTTATGTTTCCAATTCATTTAGATAGTCAAAAGTCAAGTTCAATTTATTTTTGTTGTGAATAAATAGTTATTTATACTAATTTCGAAAACATGCGTGCCTGAAAATTCTAACGCTTCAAATCAAGACTTTCCATTTAAACATTTTTCTCTTCAAAACTTACTTTTAAGTGAATAAAATAGCATAAATATGTCTATAGTTTAATAAAATAAATGATGTATGGTATAAAAAGAGCAAGTATCAAAGGTAAGTGTAGGTACACGTATATTTTAAAATGCCTTTTTCTCAAAACTATATTTTTCAGCTTTACGTGTCTTTAAAATGTTCCATGCGTCTTAATTTTTTTGGTAAATCTTATGAAATTTTTAGTACGGTATTCTGACAGATACTAAAATAAATCTTGGTATCCATTTTATTTTTCGACTTCATTTAGATAGTTAAAAGTCACTTTATTTAGAAAAAATGTAAAATTGTGATGAAAATTAAGTAAACAAAACAAAAATATTTCCTATAAATTAACTATTCAGTGAA